GAATCCTTTTATAACACTTCATGCCGTTATCATTTCACATATGTTACCGTTCTCAAAAAATAATCACGTTCTTCTAGATGATGCGCCTTGTCGCCTTCTCGGCACTTATCGTAAGTTTCCTTCAGTACTTTTTCTATATAGGCAAAAATAATGACTCTATCTTTCGAACAACTCTGTTGAGATTTTAATATTACATTTCTTATAAAGACTCGATTATAAGTCAAACCGTGCTGTGGTCAGAGTTAACAAAAACCGTAGTCATAAAAGAATGAACGTCCAAGGAACATATCTTACTGCAGGTAGCTGGGGTATTCGCACAGGACTGCAGCACTCCAGCCAGTACTCGCGACACATTTGGACAGTATCTGTTGTGTATGAAGCAAGGTTTGGATCAAAACTACGAACTCTATGAGAATGAGATACGAGAACATGGCAGGTCAGTACGACACTTTCGTTCGGAGTGATGAATAAGAAGTGGTGTGTCAAGCAAGGAGCAAAAGAATATGGCATCAAGTTCTTTCTAGATATCTATGACACAAGGTCCTCGAAATTTACTCAAATTTAAATTTCAATATACACCCTATGTAAAATATCTTCGAATTCTCCAAGAAATAGTAGATACAGCTTTTGATGAACTTTCTTTTTCAAACTATTGTATTTCAAAATGTGCTGTTTTCAGAAAAGCAGCCCTTGCATGCTTCTCGCCCACTATCGAGGAGGGTAACAAAAACGACCGTTGCGTCCTCAGCGCAAACGATTTGAATCAGGTTGCTTGGGACAGGCATGGACCATTGAGGGATTGCACAATTTGCAGAACCGTAAGTAGTTTTTTTTTTCTCCACACGTTAACTGATTTGATAAAAAAGTTTTTCTTCTCAGTTTGCTTCCGGAGCTCTCAAGGCGCTCAAGTCTACGCCTGCTGAGGATCAGAAATGCATCCGTACTGAAATCACTAAGGGTAAACAAATAGTTCTCAGCATTTTTGGAATCTTCTCAGCATAATAAGTGACTTTCTTCAGCTATTGCACGTGAAGCAAGCTACTGCTTACAAAGGAAAATCCCGAACTTTGCTGGGGTTCCCGAAATTCCTGATATTGAAGAAGGATCCTTCACCTACAAAGATTCCGTGTAAGTACCTTCAACAATCGAACTATGTGAGATACGTCAGCAAACAAATCACGAACACTTCAGGATTTCTTATCTCTCTGATCATATTCTCATCAATTCTCGCCTGGCTTTCTGTGGTGAACGCAAACCAACTCGAGCGGCGAACACCAATAAATGTCTTCATAATCCTTTCGTAGGATATCTTAGCGAACACTGCAAAGGTGGGAGAAACGGCTTTGCTTATTAATCGGATCGCTATCAAAGATAACATATCAATAGACTCATGTGCTTAGCACTGTGCTTAGCTTAACAAAATAATTTAATTATTATCAATGGAAAAAACTCTTTTCGAACGAGTCAAAACCAAGTTTTGCAGTCTCAGGTGTGGTAAATATTTGAAGTTTCCAGAATCGGCGTAGCTGCCGTTAATAGCAGAGTAAAAAAGCGCATATTTGAAATTGCGAACCGTTGAGCCTAAACTCCGTTTGCTTAGTTCAATATCATTTCATTTAGTTTCTTTTCCCAAGTTTCTCGTAGACAAAGTGTTATGGGTTGTTCGCACAAAAGCTTTCTTAACCTTAGTAACGAAATTCCAGCTTAATTCCAACTTATTTTCAGTTTTGGCATCGTGCGACAGTCGTGTTGCTGTTGGATCGT